CAGCATGAAACTCCCCGGGCATTCTCTTATTTTTATCCTGACTTTATGACCATGCCAGCAATTCACAGACACCCATCTCACGAAGTCAGTGGGGCAACAATGAGTGCTCTTAAACTGAAATCTTTGACAGCGTGGAGGCCTGTTTTGATCCAAAGCTTTGATTCTGCACATCTGTATGAGCATGCAGTTTCAGTAAGATCATTAACCAAGTCTGTGAAACCTCAGTAAGTGCCTTCAAAGGTCATCCACAAACAACTTGACCAATTCAGAAATAAAATATATAGATTTTCTTCTTACAGCACTCCGCTGTCTCAGAAAGGGCATTTCTGTTGGTATAGATTCTAAAATACAATTTCCCCCTAAGAAACTAAGAGATCTGCCATTAATTGACTGGGCTGGAAGCCATATAAATAGACTTGTGACTAATGGTGTGACATCTAGAGAGGATTGCCTTTTATTCTGTTGCATGATGTGCCTTTCGGTACACAACCCTCAAAATGGTTTCTGATGTGGGCTAGGTGCCTGGCCTCCCAAAGTTATCTTAGGAGGAAAAGAAAAAGAAAAAGCACTGAAGTTGTCACCATCTGACTGTGCTCCAGTATTAGAAAAATACCAAACAAATCCTCTACAGCAGTGGGTCCCAGATGTTTTTGGACTGCAGCTCTCAGAAACCTTAGCCAGCACAGCTACTGTTGAAAGCTTCTGGTCCTCTACAGCAGTGGGACCCAGATGTTTTTGGACTGCAACTCTCAGAAACCTTAGCCAGCACAGCTACTGTTGAAAGCTTCTGGTCTGCCAGCACAGCTACTGTTGAAAGCTTCTGGGAGCTGTAGTCCAAGAACACCTAGGTTACCCAAGACTGGAAACAACTGCTCTATAGGCATGTGTGGGTGCCTACAGATGCGTCTATGTATGGTAGGGTGGTTCTTTACATGACAGAACAAATTTATGCAGGTCTAGTGCCAAAGCTATTTAGCTGAATGTTTCTTTGAAGCTATTTGGGGAAGTGAACCTCCTTTCAAATAAATAAGATGGCCACTTGCAGAATGAAAAAAGGAGAGGAAAGATGTGACGTAACAGCCCAAAAAAGAAAAGGAGAGAAGATTCACAAGTATACAATATTTATATATGCTAATTGTTATGTATAAGCACAAATGTTAGAAATAATTGCTGTAATTCAAATTAAATTCACAATTCCATGCCAATTTATTTATTTATTTATTTATTTGTTTATTTATTTATTTATTTATTTATTTAAAATAGAAATTGAAATACAGTACAATTCACCATAGTGGGGAAATCTGTGATTCAGTGACCTAAGTGTCTCTTTGGTCCTCTATCTGTATGACAAGTGTAGTTGGGCAATTTCAAGGTCTCTGCTTCCTGTTCTCAGTTTCTTTTAACCCAGATGTGGACTGACCAGTCATTCAGAGAATGACACTTTCAGAAGAGAAATTTTACTCATGTAACACTTATGTGATCTACTATGTTCAAAGGAGTTTACTTCCAAAATAGTGTGAACAAGACTGAGCATTGAAATCCTATGCATCTCTGCTCAGAAATGAGTTCTACTTTCAGTGAAACTTACTCCCATAAAACTGGTGTATGCTTGCAGTCTTAATTCCTTCTCTTTTATTGTTTGCACACACACACACACACACACACAAACTTTTCCTGCTCCAATTTTTTCCCTTTTTTCTTTATTTTTGTTTCAGTCCTTTTGCTTCTAAACTGATTTTTTCACATTAAAGAAAAGAATCTCTTTAACTAGGGTCCTTTAACTGCCCCATCCCTTAAAAGAAACTACATGTACTCATCAAACACAGCTGACTGCAGTAGATAAGGTATGCACACAGTGGGTCTCTGACACACCCTCATTCTGGAGGGCCACACCCTGTTGGAGCCATATGTGATGGATATCCCTGACTAATCCCTCTGCTTAATACAAGCTAGTGTGTTGCAACCAGAAAACAGTGAAGCCTCTAGGGAGGCTGACATCATCGTGAGCCAAAGGAATCTGTTTGTTCTGGTTTTGTTTGTTTGTCTTTGGTTGACCCACACAGCACCCTACAAAGTCATGCATTCCACGATTCCAACTCTCATATTTTAATCCTTATTTCTTTAAAAACAACAACAGTGTAAACTCTGTCATGTATTTTAAAGACAGTTTAAGAATGCAGCCCTTGAAGCAGGTAGCAGATATCTCATCTATTGCTCCCTAAGTCTAAATTAATCCTAGTGTATTGGTGGTAATGTACGTCTTATCCATAATACAGTGTCCTGCTTGGCGCATTTCTTTGTGTGGTGGTAATTATAGATTGACGAAAATCTTCAGAAGTGCATGCATGCATTGCCATAACACACAGAGACCATTAGAAATTTTGAAATGCAGGGGCCCACCATGCCAATTTCTATAGCCATGGCTCCAAGAAGAATCTAAAAATAAAAACCACTGTCCTTGCTCTTTTGAGGGCAGGCCCTTGTCCCTGCTAATCAGAAGGCTCTGTTACACTGATCCTATGAGCCCTGGCTCTGTTGCACCACTACCCATCAGAGATAGGCACAAATCACCAGTTCAGCAGTTTGTACCAGTTTGGCCGAACAGGTGTCCTGCAGTTCGGTACCCCACTCCCTCTGGAGGTTGCCCACTCAGAGGCAGTCCCTAGAGGAGCTGGGCCAGAGAAGCCAGGGTGCTGTTTCCAAATGGGTGCCCTCCAGAGTGGACAGGGCACCAACTCATGGAACATCTTTTTGGCCATTACCTGAACCAGTAGTTTGTGCCCATCTCTGCTACCCATACACACAGAGAGTGCATTCTTCGAGCATACCTACCTGCTCTTATCTCCAGTTCTTCATTTTTTCACCTTGCATAATAATAAAGATAATACAGATTGTTTTTAAAGGACATACACACACTCTAATCCATTGCACCACAGAAGGGCAATAGATTAAATGCTTTGTATTCGTGAAGGCTTTCATGGCTGGGATCTAATGGTTGTTGTGGGTTTTTCAGGCTCTTTGGCCGTGTTCTGAAGGTTGTTCTTCCTGATGTTTCGCCAGTCTCCGTGGCCGGCATCTTCAGAGGACAGGAGGAGAGCATCTGAAGATGCCGGCCACAGAGACAGGTGAAATGTCAGGAAGAACAACCTTCAGAACATGGCCAAAGAGCCCAAAAAACCCACAACAACCAACAATTAAATGCTTTATTTGTGTACATCTGAAAATTGCGCCTCTTGATATAAGAATAAATGGAAGCTTTTTCCTTTGACTCAAAGAAAATCTGCAGCTCTAACCAAAGGAAGCGGCTGTGAGAATACGGGCCCCCACATAGGCATTCCCAGTGCAGAGTGGTTATATGGCTTTGCCATGGATATGTAGCAGAAGCATGACAGTATCTTTTGAGTTCTGTTTCAGAAGTTCATTGAGTAGAAGATCCATACTAGTAGCCATGGCTCTTTACAATTAGTGCTGTGCTAAAAATTCCTCTCATGAGAATTTTGACCATTGTCCTCACATTTGATAAAGGGGAAAAAATCCTTACGTAAAAAAAATTGCTAAGGAAGGGGAATGTTGGAGAAATTCCAGTAGGAGAGATTAAGGATTCATGTGCTTACCTTAGTTAGAAAGTGGATGAGAATTATGCAAATACCCAGCCTCCCTTTTTATAACGTCTGTGATAAGTAACCATGGCTTCCCATATGTCTGTTAAAGCTCAATGAAAGACCTAATAAGGTAATTTCTCCAGTAGTTTTTTTTTTTTCAGATCAGGAAGGGACTGGGAAGGTATAAAGTGGTACTGAAAGAGGTAGTAGGGAAAAAAAGGAGAAAAAAAGAGAAAGAAATGAAATGTTTTAGTCAGCTCAAAAATACCATCAAGAAAAAACAATCTTAATGGTCATGACAATGAAACAAGAGAATCAAAACATTTTTTGTGAGAGAACTGACTTTTGGAAAACTGAAAGTCAAATCATGGCACAGTACTGTACTATTTTACCATTTTACTGGAGATGCACATAACACTATGTTCCCTCATATTTGCTCTTGGGCTTTGCAGGAAAAGCATATCTTTCAGCATTCGTGTTCACAATGGCACCTTAAGCGACTGAACAGCTCAGTGGGTTGGAGTATGGGGTCTTGAGCTTAATTCTTCGCTGTGCTTCCCAGGAGAAGAGCCAGCCTGCTGTATGCTTGGGCAAGTAGCACAGTCATAGAGTGCCAACAGAAGAAAGGACTGGCAAACCACTTCTGAATACTTTGTACTCTGGAAATCCCGGAAAAGACTGCCATGTGCTAAAATCACTTTGACACTACACAATAATAGTTATTAAACTTGTGAAGTTACATAGTTTTAGACTCTGAACTTGGTGTTCTTAAGGGAGAGCAGGAGCTGTTTAGATGACACATGTGCTTGTTTATTTATGCCATAAAGCAGTAAATTACTTCTGCAGCATTTAAGAGCTCTCCCATTTGTTTGTTTGTTTTGTTTTTTTGAGCAAACTTCGGATGTTTTCTCAAAGGCTTTCCTTGTCAACATCCCCACTGATGTGTGAAATGTGGCCTATAATCCACTTTTCAAGGGCAGCTGGAAAGATGTAAAACATAGCACAATGGACTGTTCCTCTTAAAACCCAAACTTCTGCATTGAAGGCTAACACACACTTTTTGACAACCATCTGCACTGGATATTTGAAGATCTCTTTCACTGCTGTGTCAAAGTGGGGATGGAAAATATGTTATAATGCCATTTCTAAAGAATGTACTTGTGAATGTTGTGCTTCATTAGTATTAAACTAGATTGAAAATACAAGATAATATTTAATGGGCAAAAGTAATCCAGCTGTTGTGAAAGAAGTGGAACCTGTTTCAGATTGATTCACATTTCAGGTATTATGGGGAAACCTCCATTCACGTGGAGATATGTTCAAAACTGGTTTCCAAAGTCTTACACAAAGGGAGGTCCCATCTGAATATTTGGCAGATTTTGGTGGTGGTGGTTTTTCTCTAAGCTGTAAATGCTGCTGCTGTCTTTGAAGTTCTGTGCACACCTGTGTAGATCACAAAGAAAGTCAGGTGAGACCTCCCACACCCTTACGTGAAATCCACAATGCAACATGTCAGGTAAGATATGCTCTCCAGTAACTTGTTTCAAAGCCAGACCCATACCTGTTAAGTTTCTGCTTCATTTAACCTTTGCTCTGAAAAACAGAAAAACAAAACAGACAAAATATTTATATTTAAAAAGAGAGAGAGAGAGAGATTCATCTATCTGTCAAAGTTAGGAAACCAAGTAATAATAGTGTCATTCATTACAGAAGTTCAGCTGGGGCAGTTTCTTTGTTTTAATGTGAACATAACTGGTTCTCACTTTAAAATCCTTATTGGCAACTATTTTTTTGCTGGCAGGGTGCTTTGCTCATGATAATGTGGGCCAAGGCTGTACCTCTGTCCCCACCCCCAAAATGACTGCCTGTCCGACCTATAGTATGAGTCCTAATAGTGTAATGGAGGAGAGAAAGCCCACCATTCTTTTACAATTGGTGGGAGATAACTGAACTCCATATTAGCCTTTACTGTGGATGGGAAAGAACAGTATCACTGTCCTTACTTTTCTATTTGGAGTAAAGTTTCCCAGTCTTTTATGCACTAGGCATGAATATTGCCCTAATTCCACCACCACCCTTCCTCACTAGGGATGGAAGAAGAAAACTTAGCCTGCTATTATTCTCTCTTTGTCTTTTTAACCACACAATCTCTTCCTTTTCCATTATACTTGTAGACAAGTTCCCATAATGTTTTGATAGTCACACCTACACGTCTTGCAGTACGTAAAGAACCTGTAGACCATAGGAACATGGAGAACTGCTGGGCCTTCTGGGTCAGTATTTTTTACACTGTGTGACCACAGGAAGTTCCATTCTACCTCTCTTCTGGTTCTTCTCTTCACAACATCCCTCTGAGGTAGACCAGGCTGATAGACAGTGACTGCCGCCAAAATATTGCCCATAGCATGTGAACCACTCTCTCGGCATGTTTACAATTTAATTATCCAGGCTACATGCTGGGTGGGTGTGGAGGTATAAAAAGCCTCCCTGGCCCAACTGGTGGGCTCCCCACCTTAGCAGGGAGGGTGACAACCTTCCCCATGTTCAGCTCCTCGGTGGACTGCAGAGGTGATGATGAGGTGGAGAAAAACACCCTAGAAGCAGCAGGTGCAGCCATGGTTGGACTCTTATTTAAGGAGGGGACAGTTGCTGCAGAGGAAGACCTTTAGGTGGATGCTGTTGACTGGGAGGTGTGCGAAGCTGAATAGGAGAAATTGAGAGAAGTGCCCTCCAGAGAAGGCTGGGAACTAGTCCTCATGTGAGACTTTGACACTGGCCAGCAGGTAGAAATGATTGTTGTTTCCCACCGCCCCCAGGAGAAGTTACCTCTGTCAGTCACTACCAAGCCCATTGGCTTGCTAGTTGGAGAACCAGTGTCAGGCTTGGTGCTACAACCATAAGAAACAGGAGCGATCACTCCAGGCCAAACCATCTCCTGCACCTCCTTGACCCACAAGGAACAAACACTGAGACTCCACTGCCTCCTGCCCACCATTCTGAACTTCTGAGGGAACCAGGTAGGTACAACTGGACTTCAGCTAGGCCACAGCCAAGAGCTACTGAATCTGCAGATCCAGGGGAGCCATTGCCAGGCACTGCAACCTGATTGGTGAAGGTGTTCACATGGTCTGTCTCCAGAGACAGATCTCAGCCGGCATCCAATAGCCGACCTGTGGCATCTCCTACCTTGCCCACCTGTGTGGCACGTTGGACCTTGTTAAGAAGAAAGGACTCTAATCCCCCAGGGTGGTTGCTTTTGCTTCTCATGGTTGCAGCATTGAGCCCATCGCTGGTTTTCCAGCTGACAATCCTACTGTTGATGGGCTCAGTTGCAATTCGATGCTCCAACGAGACAGTCAGTTCTACCCACTGCCCAGTGTTGGGGGGGTCCCACAGGCAGACTACCTCCCAGCCTTCTCTGGAGGGCATGTCTGCCAGCTTCACCTTCTCAGCCTTCACACAGCTCCCAGTTGACAGCCTTCACCTACAGTTAAATACATAAGATGGGTTTAAAAAAAGAAATACTCTGATTTCATGTCCCCTCCTCAATCTCTTCATCCAGCAACAGTGACAAGAATGAGTGTGCTTCAATTGATCCTCCATTCACACTTTGGCCACATTGAAAGAAGCATCACCTGCTCAACTTCAAGCAAAGGAAAATGGAAAGAACAGAAATAAAGTATACACAGAACAATGTACCCATTTATGAAAATCTGTCACTCTACCCATTATACCATACTTGGTATCTTCATTAAAAGATAACTTACCAGAATGCCAAAACTCTGATATGCTATTTTTTAACATCATAAAACGACAAGAAATAAGCATTGTTTAATAATGTTTTGTAAGATTTTTGGCGGGGAGGACAAGAAACTGAGAGTTAACTATACTGACATTCATGCTATGAAGCATGCAGTGTAAATAAAATGTGCTTTGGCAAGGAAAGGCCTGAGACCCAGTTCTGTAATCTGATCTTTTGGGAGACAGACTTGGGACAGTGTTGTCACCACTGAACTCTGCCCAGAGCAGAAAATAATATATTTTAACTTAATTGACAAATCCATATATTAACACCACATTCCCTCACCCCTCAATTCATCATATCAGATTCCTTAGCAAATTTAAGGTTAATCTACTGATCTTCTTTTAGCCTTTTGTTTCTGTTCTTACAAAGCATGTCCTTAGAAAGCATGGCTAACAACAAGGCCAGGGGAGGTGATGGCATTCCAGTTGAACTATTTAAATTCTTAAAAGATGCCACTGTTAAGGTGCTACACTCAATATGCCAGCAAGTTTCGAAAACTCAGCAGTGGCCAGAGGACTGGAAAAGATCAGTCTACATCCCAGTCCCAAAGAAGGGCAGTGCCAAAGAATGCTCCAACCACCATACAATTGTACTCATTTCACACGCTAGCAAGGTTATGCACAAAATCCTACAAGGCAGGCTTCAGCAGTATGTGGACTGAGAACTCCCAGAAGTACAAGCTGGATTTCGAAGGGGCAGAGGAACTAGAGACCAAATTGCTAACATGCACTGGATTATGGAGAGAGCCAGAGAGTTCCAGAAAAACATTTACTTCTTCTTCATTGACTACGCAAAAGCCTTTGACTGTGTGGACCACAACAAACTATGGCAAGTTCTTAAAGAAATGGGAGTGCCTGACAATGTTATCTTTCTCCTGAGAAATCTATATGTGGGACAGGAAACAACAGTTAGAACTGGATATGGAACAACCGATTGGTTCAAAATTGGGAAAGGGGTATGACAAGGCTGTATACAGTATTGTCCCCCAGCATATTTAATTATATGCAGAATACATCATGAGAAAGGCAGGACTGGATGAATCCCAATCTGAAATTAAGATTTCTAGAAGAAATATCAACAACTCCAATATGCAGATG